GGGGATGGCCGCAATCCCTTCTCCTCCATTCTCCTCTCGGGATCTTGGGCATGCACGCACACGCGCCTGGCGTGAGTTTTAAGCCACCGGGTCCGGGACACGAACCGCGGTCGACTACGTGGGAGTCCAGCGACATAGCCATTATGCTAACTGCTGGTTCCCAAAAGTAGTTATTTTTACAACTGCCCAGAGCTAGAAGATTTGGGGTCTCTGATAAAAAGGAAAAGTATAAACATAATCTCATTTCCATTTTAGCTGACAGTGGATTCACACAGAAAAGTTATAATCCACGTGGACAAGCTATTCATCTAGTCTGACCAGGTGAAGCATTTCCCAAATCTCATTTACTAACTCATAGGGTTGAAGAGGTTTTTTTCCCCAGAGATTTCATTTCAAATGGTGGGTTCCTTAAGGCCTACTCAAGCTAGCAGGCTATCCTCAGTGTCTATCTCATGTAGTCTAGGAATTAAAAGAAACAAAATTCAAAATCTCCATGAGTTTTAATGACTAACACAGTCTATAAAGACAAGTGCACTTTAAGGACAAGGATTTTCCTGAGTACTTCAGTATATGTATATACTAATGTTTTATTAGAAATCAAGTAAGTAGCTTACTATCCTTAAAGGGAAATACTTAATACATAATAAGAGTTTTCTAGGTGGAAAAATCAGAGAAGTATTTTATAACTTCATTCACGTACAGAGCGGAAAAACAGAACATTTAGCAACAACAAAAGATGCTAGTGAGCTGTAGAAAAGAACTATCTTTATTAGTGTATCTTAATGCATTCATAATAGCAGGCAAGAAAATGTTTCTCTTTTCATTTCAAATTATTTTGATGTCATTTCTATTTTATTTATTGGACATTACATTTCTTTTTGTTCATTGCAAAAATGATCTTTTTAAGATGGAAGAAAGTCAGTAACTTGCGTGCAGGACACGAACCGCGGTCGACTACGTGGGAATCCAGCGACATAGCCATTACGCTAACTGCTGGTTCCCAAAATGTTTCTCTTTTCATTTCAAATTATTTTGATGTCATTTCTATTTTATTTATTGGACATTACATTTCTTTTTGTTCATTGCAAAAATGATCTTTTTAAGATGGAAGAAAGTCAGTAACTTGCGTGCATGGTTATTGCTTGTTTGAAAGGATTTCTAAAAAATAAAAGTAAAAAGAGAAAAATGTTTCATTAATTAGGAATCTGCCATAATTTACGATGGACTGAGCTTACGTTTATATTACTTTCTTTAAATAGAGAACGATAAGCTGAGAATCAGAAGAAATATTCAACAATAAGCTGAGAAGCACAGAAGAAATATTCACGTGAAATAAGAGAAAAAGTATGTGCAAAGAATTCTAGAAATTTCTTGTTTTATTTATGAGGTTCTTTGTTTCACACACTCTAGACAAACTGGTCTACTTGTTATTCTCTAAACATGCCTAGTATTCTCTTAACTCTGTCCCTTTGTCCATGGTAATTTATAATGCCAACCTCAGCCCTCACACTGCATCCCTACCTTTTGAAATCCTACCCTTCTTTTAATATTATCTCTTAATCTCTTTTCATGCCAGAAATCCTCCCTCTCCCAGTAGGCACACAAAGGGTGGACAAAAGCACTTGGTGAAAACCAGCAGGTAGCATGGTGGTGAGGGTGCTGGACTCCCACATGGCTAACTACAGTTCAAGTCCCAGACCTGGTGGCTTGAAAGTCACACTGACTGTGCGTGTGTGTACATGTGGCGGGTGGCATCCCCAAAATCCTGAGAAGAAGGGATTGCACTGTGGCTATATCCCCAGAGGGTGATTTCTTATTTTCCATCTCACTGTCTCTATCTCTCTCTGGTGAGTGGTGAGTGCATAAACCCTATGGCAAAAACCTAGAAACAAACGGCTAATACTATCTATGTCAGTAGCAACTTCTAGGACAAAATGAACAGTTCCAATATTTCAAATTTGACTGAGAGTACACTAACACAGAATTTAGACAAGGATATATATCAGTACTATATATTCTGCAAGGGGTTATACTATATATCTATGTAGGTATACACATAGAAAATACACGCTTTGAAAAGATATTGATGACCTACAATATACAAATTCTTAAAAAATCAAGCAAAATGAAAGGGGCCAGCAGGTGGCATGGTGGTTGAGGTTCTGGACACTCCCACATAGTTGACCACAGTCCAAGTCCTGGACCCAGTGGCTTGGTTTCTCACTTTCTCTCTGTCTCTGGTCAAATTAAAGTAAGCAAATGAATAAATAAAATTAACATAAATAAGTCTTTTTTTAAAAAAAAGCAAAAAAATAAAAACAAACGAACAAAATTAAGGTGAACAATTGTCCTAAATTCAAAACAAAAGTACTTATTTATTTCTGCGAAACAAAATGAAAAGTTTTGCATCTATAAAAGCATTTAAATAAGCTTGGGGCTGATTAGTAACTTGTCTTATTTAGGAAGGGTAAGAACCATTATTCACAGATAAAGGAAACATTGATTATCTTAATTCTCAATCTAAAACTGTTCAAGTAGTTTTATGAATGCTAGAAAAACAATATAGTAATCATATAGAGCTATAATTCAATTATCTCTAGTAGAATATTTAAAGGAACGGAAGCTTTCCTTTAAGTCTTCCAGTGGCACAGGCCTTCTTGGCAGTTCCCTTGTTCACCTGCCTTCCTTTCACTAACAGGTAAATCCACAGGGAACCTCTTCTGACTGTTACCTTGAGGCACAGCAGGATAAAATCGTTTTCACTGGTTAGACTTTATTTCCATGTAGTCTTTTAGATAATTTTAACAAACTTCTGAACAGTGAATAAGGCTAACCCATCCCAAAACATTACTATAGAGCTAACAGTGGAGTAGATTATAGAAGTACAGTTTTTTTTTAAATATTATTTTTTGAGGGACCAAAACTTTTCTTTGAGAACCACTGCTTTAAGACACAGCTTTAAGAAGTCAAAGATGCTTACTCAGAGCCACTCATTATTTCTTCCAACAAATTTTATTAAGTATCTCTTACGTGCACAGCACTGTTATAAGCCTTTGAGTATAAACTAGTGGATACACAGTGGGTAAGATCCCTATTCTCATCTAATGGGGAAGTCTGATAATGAATTAAATACAAATATATAATAGTTTCAGATAGGAGGAACTTCTTAGAAAACAAACAAAGTCAATCAGAAGAATAAGCCAAGTGATTTTGGGTTGGGAGTCACCCCTTTAGGAGAGAGACAGGGAAGTCAGGGAAAACTCAGCTGTGACCTGAAGCCATCTATGAAACAACAGCTCTAGGTGGGGGAACAAGTGATAAGTACAGAGGCACAGATGAGTTTGACACGTTCCAGGAACAAAAAGTGGGTCAGCCTGGCTGGACCACAGTAAGAACGGGGAAGTGCAGTAGCAGAAGCAGTAAGAGATCCAAGCTGGGGTCGGACCACTCAAGGTCTTTGATGCCTCAGAAAAAGGTACAGATTTGATTCTAGAAACAGCAGAAAGGAACTGAAAAGATTTAAGTAAAAAAGGGACTTTTGTTTTTGTAAAATAACTCTGGCTTTGGCATGAAAAAAGAATTAGTGCCATAAGATAGACATTCAGGAAGTATAATTTGATGATGGAAAATGTAGGGCAGTGAAACATAGCTTATGTGCTTTCATCTGAAATTAAATAATAAGATGGGTAAGAGAGCACTTACCCTCATCCTCCAGCCAAGAGGAAAAGGAAGGAAGGAAAAGAGCTGCCTGACTTCAAATTTCTGCTCAGATGCAGACTAGACTCTATAAAAATTATTCAAATTAAGGAACAGTAGTTCTGAAACCATTCTATAGTTCTAAAAGCCCTAAGAAAAGTAACCTTTTTCTTGCTTAACTTCCACCTGACCACTTGCAGGCCTAAATCGGAAGAACAGCCTCAACCATAATCTTCTAAGAGGCTTTGGTTATAAAGCCTCCACAATTTACAGCTATTAAATTGTGAGTTCCTTCTGCCAATATAAACAAGCTCTGGATATATTTGATAAGATGATTAATGAAGTAAGATTATAAAAGGAATAGTTTAATCAGTAAAGAGTTTTAAATCTACAAAAAACACTAATCTGCAAAGCCACCTTTGCTAAACTGACCATTAATCTAGTCACTGTAATTTCCTTTTCAAGCATTTCCTTGTTCATCTAATTTAAATTATATATATTTCAAAGTAAGAAAATTCTGTATTTTAAAAGATTTTATATTTTTTCTAGCTTATAGAACCACCCTTTTGTTTGAATTAGTAAGATTTTACTCTATTTTTAATGATCTTAAAATAGAAGCAATTGGGTCAGCAGGGGGCGTAGTGGTTAAGGCACTAGACTCCCACATAGACGACCATGGTTCAAGTCCTGGACCCAGCAGTGTGAAACTCACACCAGGTGCATGTGCATGCATGCCTAAAATTCCAAGAGGAGAATGGAAGAGAAGGGATTACAGCATGGCCATCACTCTGGCCATGTCTTCTCACTGTCTCTGTCTCTGTCGAGCATATGTACACTAAAACAAAACTCTCTCTCTCAAAACAAAATAAAGAAGTAATAAAAAAAAAACATTATTAGCTAAGAAAATATAATATTCAAGCATACCTCTACTTTAATCCTCTTCGGGGATAATTCATCTCTTTCTCCACATTTTGACCTAAGAGGGAGGAAAGAGAGAGAAAAACCTGAGGTTTTTTTATTCCAAAGGCATCTCGTTCTAAAACCGTCTACCAAAACATCTGGTTGTCAGAAAAGTCATGACGCATCTTTCTTTTTTTTTTGCACAGAAAAATGCATCATGACTTTTCTGATGATCCAATAAATAACTGTGAAGTTTTAACACCAAAAATGAAATATCTATACTGAACATTAAGATAATAAAAAATAAAAATAATTCATCATTTCCAATGAAAATTAAGTGAGAACGTAGATATGACACATCTGTCAAGGCCATTATTTAAGAAATCCTATAGAGAAAATTAAGTAAATATTTAATGATTATCACAAAACAAGAAAGAAGTAAAAAAAAAAAAAAACAGGGAGGATATCTCTTTATGGTTCAATAGGAACAATTTAGGAAAAAACCTCAAAAATGACCATTTAAGATGAATGCTTAAGATTACTTGAGATTAAAATGCATTTTGTCTAGCTACTGAAACTACAGATGTATTATCTTTAACCTAGAAATCTCTTTGCTGGGAATCTCAGATACAAATGTAATGACACTCCATCAATCATTAAGACACGATTTTATTATGGACCATTATAAACTACTACTGCCAATTAAACCATGACAAGCCATGAATTTTAAGTTATATCCCAACACAAAAGATGTTTAAAAATGTGGAAAAAAGTACACATTAGAATTAAAAATATGACATGTATGATGGTATTTACTGTGGTCATATTTACAATAACAAAAGTGGAGAAAAAACACAAGTATCCATCAATAAGAGACTGAAATCACAGCCCACTTACACGATTCAATACCACGCAGCTATAAAATGTAAGGAAGGTCTATATAGATGTATGCATACTAATAGAGAGATCTCTAAAATATATTAATGTAAGTAAAATACAGAACACAGATATTTGCTAGCTTTGTATTTGATAAAAGGTGAGAAGGACAGTGTATATAGTTGCACGTACATAAAGAAGTAGGAGAAGGATGTAAGTGAAGTATTAGAACTACCTACATTGTGGACAGAAGCAGGGTAAAAGAGGCAGGAATAGGAGTGCACATTTTTGTATTACTTTTAATGTTAGAGGGTATATATTTGAGAAAGAGGTAGATGTCACAGAGAGTATGCTCACGAGGCCTGGTCATGCCGCATTCCTTTTCCTCGAATTCTCCATTTCATCAGGATCCTGGGCATGTTCCCCTATACCCAGCAGGATACCAATGGGGCTACCTCGAACCCCAGTTGGCAACATGAGATCTAGATTCCTCAGCCCAGCATCTGACCATTGTGCTACAGAGCTGGCCCCTGTACTACCTTTTCATGTGGTTTTCGGTTCTAAATTACATAATAGTGTTAATATATTTTAAAATATAGTTAACCTTAAAAAAGTGTAAATATTAATACTAGCAAAAAAAAAATGGAAAGCATCCCAGATGAGGAAATGAGAAGTGGCAAGGAGGTAGAGTGCAGGAGCTACTAAGTTTCATTATGAATCTCATGCACTATTTGACATCTTGAACCATACATATTAATTGAAGAAAGAAAATTGTATGTGATGAAAATGAAAAATCACTGAGTCAGCTCTTGATTATTCAATCCCCTCCTCCCAAAAATCTAGTCAATAATCCTAAAATGTTGCTTAGATTCTTACTCTGTTCACTTAGTCTACTTAATTTTACTTATTGTCAGTCTGTAAATTGGTAGCCACAAGGTAGGGTGGGAAATGAAATTGGAATGAGTTAGGGAAAATAGTAACAACAGGAAAGTGGTGATTTTCAAACCTGTGTGAGCATAAGAACCATCTAGGATGTTAGTGATAGTCCAGCTCCAAGTTCCATCCCAAAGACTGAGATTTATTGGGACTGAGAAGGATGCTCAAGATAGAAATTTTCAACAAAGGTAGCAATACAGATGTTTGCTACCTTTGTCTTTGACAAACGGTAAAAATGACGGTGTATATATTACTCTGTGTCAGTTACTACAGCAGTGTGTATAGTTACTCTGCATCAGTTACTACTTTTGCATCAGTTACTCTGATGCAAGGGATTATCTGCACCTACTCAGAGAGCAGATCTATGCACAACAGATGGTGGGTTGGAAATCAAGACCCACAAAGAACCAAGTGAACAAAAATCAAAATGGTGCTATACCTATAGACAATGCCTAGGTTCAAGCAAGAATAAGATGAAGAATAATCTGACATGTTTACAATAGATTTTTAAACTACTATTATTTCTTAACATTAATGTTTTTTATTTTAAATTCACACTCCATATTCCATTTGTTAGTAATAATAGTACCTTCCAATTGTCCCTTAAATACTGGTCAATATATAGAGTCTTTTTACATACTCTGCTAATTCCATTAAATTGCAAACACCTTGCAAAAGGATGCCACTTCATTTCTTCAGAGTTCAATAAATTCACATACTTGGTGGGTATACAAGTAAGTCTATAAATGAATCATGACTGCTCCCATTATCACACTCAAAATCAAAGTGCATGTGAGAGAAAAATGTCTAAAACAGTGCTATAAAACTGAAGAACTACATCTTGCAAAAGAGAGAAAGATGGCCCAGCCCTAGTGGTGCTGGCATAGCATTATCAATCTGCACAGGTACATACGCATGCCCCCAAATTCTGACCAGCTAGGGGCTAAAGGAAGGGTGTTGGGGGTGCCTGTTTCTCTCCCTCTCTTGCACACACGTGCATGCTCTCATGAAAAACATGAACTTTTTTTTTGGGGGGCAGAGGTTTTCGCTACAGGGAGCGTGCGCTCGCCAGACAGACAGAGAGAGACATAGAGACAGAAAGCGAGAAATCATCCCCCAAGGGGGATGGTCACGCCGCAATCCCTTCTCCTCTCGGGATCTTGGGCACGCACGCACACGCGCCTGGCATGAGTTTTAAGCCACCGGGTCCAGGACGCGAACCACGGTCGACTACGTGGGCGTCCAGCGACATAGCCATTACGCTAACTGCTGGTTCCCAAGAACTTTTTTTTTTTTTTAACAGAAAAGAATTAAAACAACAAAGATCTCTATATCAATAATGTTTTGAAAAGTCAGTTTTAATTTTATGAATGCTTATATTCTATCAGTGGATGATATTTCAAACTTCACTATCAAGCAATGCAAAAATATTACCAATTAAACACTTACTTTGTGGTTCTGTAAGTATATTTATATGTGACTTCTCGAGAAATCTGCCTAGCCAGGGCAAAAAGTTCATCTCTTCTTGTTAGCAGGGCATTATCCTTCACACATAGTTGAGCAGCCGCTTCATTAACAGTGAGCTGTAGAGACAAAATAAAGTTTTAAAAATCGTAAACACTTTCATTTCATTAATATGTAAAATGCAAGAATATAAGAATGTTACATCATTATATAATAAAATAATAATTCATAAAAATCAGGACAGTATTTAGTCCTAATTATTCCTAATATCAAATTTCACAGGTCAGCCAGTGGCATGGTGGATAAGCAGCTGGATTTCACATGGCTGACAACACAGTACAAGTCCCAAACCCGGTGGCTTAGAAAAACAAGACAAGTGCACATGTGTTCAATGCCCAAAATCCTGCAATGAGAATGGAGAAGGAATTGTAGTGTGGCTATCCCTGCTGGGGGTACTTTCTCACTTCCTTGCTCTCTCCTCCTCTTTGTCTCTCTCTGGCCAGCACATGTGCCTATAGTAAATTTAGAAAAAAATTCAGAAGAAAATCAATTCATCTATTGTTTTGCAGACCCTGAACTAATCAAACCAGCCATACTGATTATATCCTTTCTTTGTATATAGCCATGTTCATTTATATGCTATTTTTGTTGTTGGATACATAGAAAAACTTATATCAACAGAGGAGAAAAACAAACATAAAGTAGAATATATTCTGTATCTCATTTTTCTTACAAAACCCAAATGATTTGATTCTATGATTAAGTGACAATATTTCCCTAGCCAGAAGCAAGTACAAATGCTCTCTCTCTTACACACACACACACACACACACACACGTATTTTCAAAGTTTTTGTCTTGTCATAGGTGTGCTCACCAGAGAGAAACAGAGAGAAACAATGACAGGGAAAAGTAATACATCAACGCTGCCTCCCCCCACACTCCACCCCACCACCCCCCGCCAAGAGGGGATGGCCATGCTGCTATCCCTTCTCCTCCTGGGCTTTTAGGCACACACACGTGTGCCTGGCGTGATTTTTAAGCCACTGAATCCAGGGCTTGAACTGCAGTCAGCTACGTGGGAGTCCAACACTGTAACTACTATGCCATCTGCTGGCCTCTTTTTTTTTAAGAAAAAGATTTATTTATTTAATTTACATTTTTAAAAATTTTGCTATAGAGCACACACGCTCACCAGAGAAAGACAAAAGAGAAGGGGAAAGTGAGAAAGCAAGTTGCCAGGCCCAAGACTCAAACCACAGTTGGCCATGTGGAAGTCCAGTGCCTTAACCACCACACAACCTGCTGGCCCACATATATATTTAAAAAAATGTGAACTGACATAAAAATTCTTCGAAAGGAATGAAAGATAATTTGGGCTAAATATTTATTAAATCACTTATTAAAATCAGTTACCACAAATTAGGGCTATATTGGAAAAAAATCAATGTCTTTGAGACTAACCTCTAAGATCCATCTAATCCTACCCTTTCACAATTCAAACTATTAAATGTTGCCAGCATAAGGTTTCTAGTTGACCAAAATAGCAAATGTTACCTTAAACAAAACCTAAAACTGCTTAATGGTAAACTAGAAGATATGTCCTTTCATATAATTTTGTCAATCTGAAGAGATACAGAACTCCCAAGAGATAAACAAGGCTTTTTTAAAAATTTAAAAAAAACAATGGCAAAAAATACATTTGATCAAGACATGGGATCAAGAAAATGGGATCTAGTGGCAGATAGACCTGACACTTACTAGCTATATGACTCTGGATATGTGAAAACTTCTCCCAGGCCCAAGACTCAAACCACAGTTGGCCATGTGGAAGTCCAGTGCCTTAACCACCACACAACCTGCTGGCCCACATATATATTTAAAAAAATGTGAACTGACATAAAAATTCTTCGAAAGGAATGAAAGATAATTTGGGCTAAATATTTATTAAATCACTTATTAAAATCAGTTACCACAAATTAGGGCTATATTGGAAAAAAATCAATGTCTTTGAGACTAACCTCTAAGATCCATCTAATCCTACCCTTTCACAATTCAAACTATTAAATGTTGCCAGCATAAGGTTTCTAGTTGACCAAAATAGCAAATGTTACCTTAAACAAAACCTAAAACTGCTTAATGGTAAACTAGAAGATATGTCCTTTCATATAATTTTGTCAATCTGAAGAGATACAGAACTCCCAAGAGATAAACAAGGCTTTTTTAAAAATTTAAAAAAAACAATGGCAAAAAATACATTTGATCAAGACATGGGATCAAGAAAATGGGATCTAGTGGCAGATAGACCTGACACTTACTAGCTATATGACTCTGGATATGTGAAAACTTCTCAGAGCCTTTTTCTGTTAGAAGCAATGGGATAGTATCGCTATTTCCAAGGGCTCTACTAGAAGTAAAGGAGGAGACACACACCTGGCGTGTTTTTCAAGCTGCAGGGGCCAGGATTTGAACTGAAGTTGGCTCCCTGTGCATGGCACTTGACCACTGGTGCATTAGGTCTGCCCCCTAAGATCCTGACAGCATGGAGAAATGGAGGAAAAAGGACTGTGGCATGACCACGACCAACTGGGGGTAAAGGGTTCTCTCTCTCTCTGGTGGATGCATGCACACTGTGGCAACAAAAAAACCCCCAGAACTTTCAAAATCTACAGAGACAAATGAAGAAAATAAATGCAGCATACAATCTTTCCATCCAGAATGACTATTAGTTTAATGTACATTATTCCAGTATTTCTCTGTGTACATATAAACGTAACTATATATGGATTTCTAATCTTTTTATCACTAAGTATGCTCTATTTTTGTTTTTATCATGAGTTAAGGCAAAAAAATGGCTTGCTTACGTCAACATCTGGCGAGGGAAGGAGGCTCAAAAACTATGTGCTGACTGACGAATGAATTCAAATATTCTTTATCATTTCAAAAACAATCTATATATATACTAATCCATCATACAGCAGTACATTATTTAAACCAGCTTACTCTGGACATTAAACTACCTGTAGTTTTTTGTTAGGTACTGAAACAAAACTGCTAGGAACATTCTTAAATATGCATCACTACACATATAACACATCCAATTATTTCTTTGGAATTCCTATAAACAGACTTATCAGATCACAGAATATATATATATATATTTTCACTTAGGGCGTGTGTACTCTCCAGAGAGACAAAGAGAGAGAGAAAGAGTGAAAGTGAAAAATCACCCTGTAGGAGAGATGGCCACACCATAATTCCTTTTCCATTCTCTTCCCAGGATGTTGGGCACCCACACACGAGTGTCCAGCATGGTATTCAAGCCCCTGGGTCCAGGACTTAAACTGCACAGTTGGCCATATGGGATCCAGTGTCTTAACCTCTACACCACCTGCTGGCCAGAATATACTCAATTTTTAAAAATTTTTATATTTCACCAAATTACCCTTTAGGAAACTTGCTCCAAATCAAAATGCTACTAATAATAAAATAGAGAATCCATTTTCTAGAATCTTGACCGGCACTGGTTATTATCTTTTAAAAGACCAATTTGATATATTTTAAATGGTACTTGATTATAATTTGCATTTCTTTGTGAAACTGAACCTTTGTCAAATGTTTCATATTATTTTAAAATCTAATTGTTCACGGCATTTGCCTGATTCTCCTTTTACCATGTTTCATTTTCTTATGGACTTCAAAATTCTTTATGGGGGCCAGTAGGTGGCATGGTAGTTGGGGTACTAGACTCCCACATGGGGTGAGTGTAGTTCAAGACCAGACCTGGCAACTTGCTTTCTCACTTTTCCTGTTCTCTGGCCAAATTTTAAAACAGCAATAAAATAAAAAATTCTTTAAAACTTAATACTTTTTGTATTAAAATAACTATCATCTGTAGTGAGGGTTTGTTTTTTTTTTTTTTTCCCAGTTTGTCATTAGACTTAACAGTTCTTATCCTGGGTGCCTAGCATAGAAACACTCTTAAGTTAATACATTTATAAAAATATAATACATTATATTTTTCAAGCAAGTAGTTCATCTATTAAGAATACGGTGGTATTCAGTAGTACATGGTGTTGTGTAGGCACCTAACATCCTCCACCCAAATTTCTAACTATAACTTAATTAGTTTATTCTAAGCTAATTAATTTGGCTATTGATAGCAAGGGTTAATAATAAGCCCAGGTCAGGAACCAGCAGTTAGCGTAATGGCTATGTCGCTGGACTCCCATGTAGTCAACCGCAGTTCGCGTCCCGGGCCCGGTGGCTTAAAACTCACACCGGGCGCATGTGCGTGCATGCCCAAGATCCCGAGAGGAGAATGGAGGAGAAGGGATTGTGGCGTGACCATCCCCTCTGGGGGGTGATTTCTCACTTTCTGTCTCTATGTCTCTGTCTGAGCAAGTGCACATGCCCTATAGCAAAAATATCTATAAAAAAATTAAAAAAAAAAAAAAAAAAAAAAGCCCAGGTCTATGATAAACATGAAAGCATAATTGAAAGAATAATTATTTTCAACCTTCATCTCTCTTCCTAAATAATCACTAATAGATCAATTCTTTCTGTGAATGCTTTTGATAGGCATGATATTAGTAAAATCGTTAAGTAAAATATCATTTAAAAAATGGCTTCCTAAATAAAATGTACTTCACTTTACTTCACTTTCAGCATGACAGCAACTACGATGACCCTTAAAGACCCTTCAAATTACTTTTTATGTGGTTAGGTTTTTTCTGTGTTCTTAAATCTTAATTATGGGGAACCTCTGATTATAACAGCCATTTTAACTGACATTTCAGAGACACCAGATCATACACACCACAGAAAATAATTTTTCAACATAAACTGGAGACAATGTTCTGGTATTCCTTCCATCATCTTACCAGAAACCAAGAAAAACAAGCAGCAAA